ACTGTATATCATTGGACTATAAACTGTATTTGAAAGATAGATAACTCTTAGAGTTTTAAAAATTAGACTAGATTAAGAGTTTTTAGTTAGTTTTAAAAATTAAAATTTATAATTAGACTATTACTAGTTTTTCATTGAAAATCAATACTGTTTTCCGCTAATAATCATTGGATTTCTTTTCTATAAAGTCGGATGAATAACACAACTAAAATGTTTGTTAAATATTATGTGAGAACTATGTAAATGTTCAAATCATGAAGGTTCTTATGTAGGGGTATATGAAAAACATCATGTGTGCCTGTTGTTTAAAACAGTGTTTTTAATATATAATTCTTATGGTATAATAAAACCTTAACAATTATTATAATTGTGTTAAATTACACAGGAACTTAAACCTAATTATGCAACCTCTTTAAAATTAGTTATCTATATCTTAAAAGTTAAATTAACTTTAAAGTAATTTAATAACTAATTAAACTTCTTTTATCAATACAAAAATCTATAATATAGATTCTATATGAATAAGCTAATAAGTTTAGTTTTTAACAATAACTTTACAACCAAACTAGTTAATAATTAGTCACTAATAATAAGTTAGTAATAAGTACCTGGTAGGAATAAACAAATAATTCAAAAACATTTTAAAGTATTTGTATTAAAAATAATATAAAAATTGTTTTTTAATGTAAAGTTAGACTTTGTATAATTTTTATTTGAGTCTAATGACATTTCCGCTCATTAATATTTTACTGCCAAATAAGGTGCCCACAGGGTGTCGGTTAGATAATTGTATTTAATGCCGATGTGGTAGTAGTTTATGGCAAAAAAACATATAGAGTTGAGACATTTTTCTGGCTAATGGCCATATACTAATCCACGGTAGTCATATGGACATTTGATTTATGGATGATCTAGCCATGATCATTGATCAAGCATATTGCTTTAATACAGTAATAAGTACTCATTTTATGTGTGATAGATGTTACACAGAGGTGATACGTATAAAGTAATTGTTTATTATTAATCCAATATGCTTGACCATTGCTAGAACACGTTCGGGTGACTAACGTAGATCAGTATATGGCCATTAGCCAGAAAAAATGTCTCCACTCTAATTCTTTTACCATAAACTATTATGGCTAATAAACCAATACTACAACATTGGCACTAAATGCTATAATCTCGCGGACACCCTGGGCATCTAGCTTGTGAATACTGTTATGCATTTATTGCTATCTTATATTATGTTAACAAATTTGTGTGGGATTAATGATAACTATCTGAACAATGTGAATGTCTAATGAGGGTACTTTTGCACGTATCATATGCCTAAGTTATTTAAAAACTGTGTTTGAAATATTGCTATACAATTGTTGTTCTACATTTACAGTTTAATAAGGCATCAGAGGCATTTAATGTGCAACAATTGTATTATAATTTATGCAACCATAAGTACTAGTGATATTCTAATAAATACGTCAAATTATTTCAGTACTTGTTATACCTTGGCAATAAAACTTACCATGTCAAATTACACTGTAGTATTCAACTCCTCGACCGCCCTGTTTTGTACATATACTGAATATTTAACAATCAAATGTTATATAAAGCACTGAATTCTGTGCAAAATGTTACTGAATATTTGTTGTGTAGATCATATAAAACTTTAATTTTATTTTTATAATAAAACTCATTATAAAAGTTAGTGATTAATCCCAAAATTGATATCCTATTAAACATCAATCAAATTATAAAGTTTTGCAAAAATTGTAAATTGTATTCAAGAGTTACAACAAAAGTAAAAAACATTTGAACTGAAAAACAGCAAAAACTTACCAATATTATTTATTATTTTTAATTGTGATTACCAAACAATTAAGATGTCCACCACTTTCGGTGTCGTCGATTACATGATATTCATAGCAATGCTAATGATGTCGACGGCAATCGGCTTGTATTGGTCGTGGAAAGACCGCAACAATACCGACGCCAATGAATTTCTCAGAGGGTATGAAATCAATAAATGTCAATCAATACAATATTAAATATAATAATAACTAGAAAACATAATGATCATTAATAATATAACATCACCCATCAATTAGTGGTAACCACATGTCTGTACTGCCGGTGTGTATGTCAATAATGGCCAGTTTTATGTACAGCACTAGTATTATCGGTATTCCCGCTTACGTATACTTTACGGGCACTCAAATCTGGGTGACGGTCGTACCGGCTGTGTTGGCCGCCACTATCGCCTGCGAGATATTCATTCCCGTCTATTATCGCATGAAATTGGTTTCAGTCAATCAGTACATTCACCTCAGATTTAATTCACATAAACTCAGAGTTGTGGCCAATATATCCATACTTGTGTCTTATGTAAGTGAAATACAATTTTACTGTACATAATATAAAATCGACTCATTCTCTCTCTCTCTCTCTCTCTCTCTCTCTCTCTCTCTCAGATCCCTTTCTTTGGAGTAGAATTGTGAGTACTATAGACTATAGATGTTTTCTGTTTAAACATCTATATCAAAATGCAATTATGTTGTTAAGATACGCGCCGGCAATCGCGCTGTCAGTCGTGACTGAAATGTCCATCACATCCAGCATTTGGACGATGGGACTCATCGTTACAATCTATACATCACTGGGCGGTCTAAAGGGTGTCATTTGGACAGACTTTTACCAGTTTATTATTATGTTATTCGGACTGTCCGCTGTCGTCATTATGGTCTGTCATCATATTTATTTATCCTAATTACTTTCTTAATGCAAACTATACAATATAAACACACCACCATCACTCACTCACACATTCACTACTTATATATAGGGAGCGTCTGAGTCGGGAGGCATAGCCCAGGCCTTTGACAGGGCTTATATTGGCGGTAGAATTGAGTTCTGGAAGTAATTTATCACATTTATTATTTATATTTTAATAATCACGTTCTCTCTCTCTCTCTCTCCTCACCCCATCAATAGCATGAACTTTGACATATACTCCGGGAACTCGTTTTTTGTGACATTCTTTGGTTGCTTAATCCTATGGTGCGGTGCGTTCAGCACAAGTCAACTACAAGTGCAACGATCGGTATCGATGCCAACTTTGAGGGCCGCCAAACGGGCCCTATATTGCGCTGTTCCGGGCTGTATAACAATCCTTTCGCTAATAGTCCTAACGGGTGTACTCATGTACGCCCGGTATTACGACTGCGACCCTATGCGCACCGGTCGAGTCCACCGACCCGACCAACTCGTGCCCTACTTTGTGACCGACATTTTTGGCGACCGTTACCCCGGTATGACCGGTGTGTTTGTCGCGGCCGTATTCAGTAGCTCACTGTCCACACTGTCGTCGGGTCTGAACGCGGTGAGTTCACTCATTTATGATGATTATGGTAAACGTTGGGTGCCTCAGAAGCAAGCTATATGGTTTACAAAACTACTGGCTGTGGCAATCGGCCTACTGACCATCATGATGGCATTTGTGATGAGCGAGATGAATAGCATACTTGAGTGCACGTTCAAACTGTACGGAGCGACCAATGGCCCGATGTTCGCCCTGTTTTGTATGGGCCTATTCTGCCCATGGGCAAACTCGTGGGGTGTCGGCTTTGGCTTTATCACTGGTCAACTGTTTGGCATTTGGCTTACTATTGGGTCGGTTGTGGACAAACAGACCGATGTTCTCTATATGGCTTTGCCCACCAGCACTGATGGCTGCGCCACTCAAAACATTACGGTCATTATGCCCGGCGCTAATCTCTCGACGCTCACACATTATAAGATTCCCCAATATTATCCGACAGGTAATTAATCTGTTAATTATTTATTTAATTAGTGTGTGTATAACAAATTTAAATTGACTTTTGATCTAGGTTATCAATTGGTTCACCACATGAGCCCCCTATATGTGCCGACTATTACCTTCTTAATAACTCTAATATTGGGTAACGTGGTCAGTCTACTAACACTGGGCAACAAAGACCAAACTATAGACCCAAATCTCGTTCATTTGAATGTGTGTCGAATGTTGGAAAAAATTCTGCCTCAAAGTTGGCAACAATTCCAGACCAAAGCGGACGAAATGGTGAAAATGACCGGTCAGTCAACTGATGGCGGCTCCGACCGCCTCCCAGAGGCAGAAACAGTCAGTCTCTGAAATTTGTTAACAAATTAAATGTTTTTAAAAATTATTTTTTATTTTTTGTTGTTTCAATTGTAGCCTTTAAGCCAGTTGTCTGACCAGCAGAGCGTTTGAATGGTTAGGTATAGTATCGGATGTCGTTGGCTTACGGTTTTATATTTTATAACTTATTTATCATATGCTATCAAATAATATGCATAATATTTGCTATATTTTCTTATGACTGCTTAATTGCTTAATTTTAATAATTATTTCAATTACGAGAGCTTGCTGAAATATTTATAATTTTTCAATATACTCCATATAAGGGTTTTACAGTAAAATTATAAGGCTAAAAATTATTATATTTTTAAAACTCATTTTATGCTTTTGTATTTTTTGAATTATTTTATTAATTATATTTTAAATTAAACTTATTTTATAATATTGACATTTATTTATAATATTAAAACTTATTTATATTTTATATTTTGTAATTTATTAATTCTTTATATTACAGTAATTGGGAGGCAATTATTTTTAAAAATGATTAATTAAAAGGTTTTTTTTTGTAAAATTCAAATAGAAATCTTCTTATTATTAAATTACTTTTTTTTGTTAAAAAATATTAATAAATCTCTATTATTATCAGGTCTATTGAGAATACAATTAAAACGTTAATTAAGATAAATTAACATTTAACAACATTGCTTTTAGACTTTAGACATTATTGACATATGCAATATAATTAGTGAATATGTTATAAATACACAGTTAAAATACATCAGAATATATTTCAATATTTATATTCAGATAAAATTATATAATTTTTATTTTAAAAAATGTTATATAATGTATGATGTAATTTACAAACGGATTAAATATTTATAATAATAATAAAAATTAAATATTAAAATAATTTGTCCATCAAAATTCTGTGTGGCCTAAAAACAAAATAAACAAGATAAAGTAATACATGATAGTCTCTCTCTCTCTCTCTCTCTCTCTCTCTCTCTCATATTTACCGCTATGATTGTCTTGCGAAACGTTATTGTGATGGCAATGATAATCATCGCTAATCTGATCGTCATATAAATTCTTGATCCTATCGGACAATAGTATGACAATTAAGTCAAATATGGCGGCCAAACAAAGTAGGATGAGAGTGAGACCATGGAGGTAATAGCGAAACTTTCGCGGGTCATATACCCAACAGTTACCCCTCTGTCCGCACGACTCCTCCCATATCATACACGCGGCGTCGGTCACTGAGCCGTACGTTAACGGGTATGGTATGAATGCTAGTGCGTTATTAATATGCAGGTTAGTTGTTTAATCATGGTCCATGGTAAATATATAATTATTATTTATGTTTTAATTACGAGTAAATTTATACTAACCAAAAATATTCATAAAAGCACCCGACAAACCAAGCGCAAAACTTTTATCACGTTCGTCGACAATTCTGGTGACATTTTTAATTTCATTTTAAAATTTTATATTAAATTATTTAAACTTTAGTTTAATTGTCATAAAATAAATTGTGAAAAAACAACAAAACCTAAAAGCGATGATTGAATTACCAGTTTTGGCTAAATTGCCCACAAAATTACCAAAACTTAATAAACCGGCGAACGAGTTAAATGTGGGACACTGTGAGGGACAGTAACCCAGCGATGCCTTACTGTCGGGCGATGGGAAACAATTGCAATTGTCTAAACTCTTATCAGTATAAGTATACGAAGAATATAAATATTACAATTTAAATAGTTTTAATTTAGGTAAACCTCTAACTGTCCAGGGCCGGGTGCCCGGCACCCCGCGTAACATGGTGAAAAATAATTAGTTATACCATCCGAGCCGCACACCGGCTGATAAACTCTTGTCGTACACTCGCAACCAATATTACAACTTGATTGCAAATCAAATCTAGGTAAAAATGTAAGACATAACCAAAATGCACATAAATAAATTACAATTAAGTTTGAAAATATATAACTAACTGTCCATTAGTTAACTTTCCATGCGATAGAGTGGCCGGACAGCCCATAAACATGGCCGATATGATACCAATCAAGCCGAATATCTCCACACTAGCTATGAGCGTGGTCAGAGCTCTGGGACCCGGCTTAAATTGGCGTATGAGTACACCGCCGATGAATATGCCACAAGCGGCCGGTGCCACACCAATTATACCTGTTTCAAATTTTCCACATTTGTTAAAACACATGGTATTGTCTTATAGTTTATAACGTGTGGTCACTCTACCGGAGAATAAGTTGGCCACGGATGCAGACTTCTTGTACTCGGTCTCGAGGTATTTGGACAGAAACGTTATGTAACCGAACAGTGCAAACATGTTGAGTGTTGTGCCGCATGTATAACATATCAGCACCGGATTAGTTGCCAGACGTTTCACTGTCGGCCAAAACTCTCAATGAGAAAAATAAAAATAAAATTAACATTGTAGTAATTTAAAATATAATAATTTACATTTAAATTATTTTACACGTGATTACTTCTATTTATATGCCTATTTGTTTTATATAGTTAAATCAATTAACATGATTTAATTAATTTTATTGTTCTTTCGCAAGTTTCGCATTCGCAAGTTTATCTAACCTAGTTTAATCACTGAATGTATATTTGATTATTAACTCATTGTTAGTTTTTTTTGTGAAATTTACATTTTCTAATTTAAACTTAATATTTATTATTTAGGTTTTAATGGGAACTCGACAAACAAACCTAAAAGTCTGTATATATTTTAAATCGTGATATTTATTCAATCGTAAAAAAGGATGTTTACAAGGAAATAATATAATTAGTTTATCTTGATGCAACAACAAATTAGATTCACAATGTTTACATAGATGTACTGCTTTAACGTTGTTTACACCCTGACTATAGACAGTCGAGATATGCTTTGCATCTAATAATAATCAGTCAATTGATTACACAATATATTTTTGTCATCGGATTTCAGTTGAGTTTGAAAGCAAATATTAACTACAGTTAATCCTCAAAATAATGAACAACAATAACAGAGAATATAATGTATTTAATTACCAGAATTAGTGTTTGAATTCTCGATTGTTATATAGGATTCGCGTTTAAGTAGTGGCGATGTTTTAAAGTTTCTTGGAAAGAAGAACATGGGTATTGAACAGATCAATACACCGGTGCCCAGTATGATAAAGCCCAGCCACCACGCGCCCACCCAACGTGGATCTTTCATGCTTATACCAGGGTCATCTAGTAGTTCATAAATAGTTTATTTTATCTAATATTTTATATTATGTATTATTTCATGTCAACATTAAAATTAAATTTATTATTTATAATTCTGTAAACGAGTAATATTTTAGTAATTGTAATTTATTTTACTTATTAAATATATTAATTAATAATAATATATATTTAATATACTTTACAGAGTGTCACAAACGTAGCCCTGAGGGCCATATTTTATAGACATATTTTATAAACAGCATCCTATCACCCCTATTATTTTTATTCAAAATAATTAAAGCTATGATAAATAATGTATAGCTAAACAACTAAATTAATTTTTTAAAACATACTGTTTAATGTATGTTTACATAAATTATATTAATAAATGATTATTAAATAGGATTTATTTGCAAAACAGTGTGTTTTGATAAACAGATTAAATCAAATGTCCTTTAATTTTGCTAAAGGTTTTTGTGTTTATAATCATTAATTTAATTGTTAATAACTCAACAGAGAATTGAGATTAAAAACAATACATCTCTCTCTCTCTCTCTCTCTCTCTCTCGCAATTATATGTATTAATACTATTATAACGGCTATTAAAGTATTAAATAAATTGAAAACTAAGTGAAGTATAAAACAAATTCTTTAGTATTCTCTTTAGTATTCACTATATTGTTAACAATACAATACAAACATGAAATATATCTAAACATAAATCGCCTCAAAAAACAATCTCATTATTAAAAATACAGAATTTTTCATTACTCTATTGTTTTCAAGATTTAGGAAAATTTTTAATATTAAAAACTAAAATATTTTTATATATGATTACTTTGAAAAGAAAATGTGATAAAATTTTTTATATAAAATTATTTTAAAACATTTTTATAATTCTACACAAGATTTATATAAAATGTTATTATTTTATGAGTCACTGGAAAAATTAAAAATAACTATAATTACTACATAATTGCATAATTAAAAATAAAATAAATAGAAATTAATTATTTCTACTAAATACAAAAAATTGATAAAATATTTCACATAAATTGCTAACCAATCGGGAAAACGTATAAATATATTACATAAAATGATCACGTATTATATACTTTTATCGCATGTTTCCTTAATATAATTCAACAGTAACAATAATTCAGTAAATATAAAGTTAATACTCACAGGAATATAATCTAATTTAAATTAAATCAATAAATTCTATGAAATATTTGATTATTAAATACAAAATATATAATAAAATACAAGAATATTCTATACATACGAAACGGATTCTCATAGAATCGGAGGCAAAACGATGATAGAAAGTAGCCGAGTGTCGGACCACCCAATCTCAGAGCTGCTGTCGTGCCTATTAATGTAATCAAACTTGATAAATTACAGTATAAATTTGCGTTTAATTTATAAATAAGTCTAGATAAAACTATTTTTATTTAAAACAATTATATAAGTATACAATCATATAGAAGTATTCAATAATATTCAATGATGTTAAGTTATATCCCATGAATAATTCAGTACAATATTCTTTGAATATCCTCATAATGTTTAATTTGCACACAATTTTTAATAAATTTTATTTATAAACGCAATGTACAAGTTATAAAAATATTAAAGTAATTTAATGTTTTGCGTATGTTTTGCTGAAAGAATAATTAAATAACTAAATAATCATGTTACGAAATATACTTTAATGACTAATATAATTATACTCTACAATATATGGTTAAAATAATTGATTTTTAGACTGAAAACTTGAATTCAACATTATTTTACCTAAATTAAGCGAAAAGTATATCTAATAAATTTATATGACGTACAGTACTGTAGTTATTATTAAATATTAAGTTAAGTCAATATAGAGATCTGGCGAAGACATCATTTAATTGGAAATTATATACTAAATAATCAAAGAGATTAACTTAAAGGCATGAAAGTTAATGTAATGGCATTTTCGCCATTAGTGCTAAACATCTCAAAGCAGAGAGAGAGAGAGAGAGAGAGAGAGATGTATTGTTTTTAATCTCAATTCTCTGTTGAGT